GGTCATCAAAAAGGCTTGCTCCTCCTCAGTCTAATGCTGGCTCTGAAAGGGGTAGGCTTTAAATATCTACAAACCAAGTAGTCCTCCTCTTTTGCAGGATTTGCTAGCCAGCTGTTATTATTTGTTTCTCTTAACAACAGCATGCAATTCAACTATTTTTAACTACGTTAAATATTCCATTCACACTTCCTGTGTTTCCCCATGTCTGATGGGTTGACAGGACAATTACTGTGCCTTGGCTTTCACATCATGCAGATATGTCCCGTTGTTCTCTCACTGGGAAGAATCTGATCATTGGAATTGAACTCCTAAATTCAGCTGTAGGATAAGATCCATGTTGCCTGAGGAGTGGTGCCTGAGCGTGGAACTTTGAGTATTCTCCAGGTGGGAGGTAACACAAGTGTCCAGTTAGGTACAGACAAAACACAGGGAGTAACTTGTTTTTCCTATAGAAGCTGATATAAAGTTGTTTTCATTTAAAGAGATAATCAAAAAATATATAGTACCTCAAAATCATAGAGGAAAAGTACTAAAGAATGTGTTAGTTAATAGAAAATATAACGTTTTTAAAATTTCCCAATGTTTGTGGTATTTCTCAACTTTTAAAATTATTCTGTGTTGTGATTTTTTTTCTCATTCTAAATATTCACATTCATGCCCAATTTTATATTCCTAGTTTTACATTTCTTTTTAGTAATGAGGTCCTCAAATTGAATAAGTGAGAAGTCCCAGGATATCTGGACACACTGCACATGGGGTCCTTTAATGGCAAAGTACCCAAAACTAAGAATCAGTATGCCATCAGTTAATTGTCTAGAGTATTGGTTTTGCCACTTCATATAAAGTATCTCTTGGTCATTCCTTCTTCTTCTAGTATCAGAAAATATAACAAGATTCTAGTTTTTGTTTTTCCTTTTTTCTCTAATTCTCCATGGTGTTTCAGGTTCCTCACCAATTGCCCTTCCTAAATTTGAGACGTGTAACATCTGAGATTTCCATTATGCATGCCAGTAGACAAGTGCAACAGGATCTGGGCAGGATATGTGCACTAGGGGTTATCAGGATAGAAATGCTGGTGCCCTTGCTGTGCCAGATGGGTAAGACCTGTTAAATTGGAAAAGCTGGCCTCAGACAAGAGGGAGGACAGACATCTCTAGGTCAGGGCTGCTAAGGGGTATTTGCAGAGCTGACAGGCTTTGTAAATAGGAACCAGGATTATCAACTAAGGCTAAGAATGAGAAGTATTTGTTAATTTTGAAGGAAAGGAAGAAGGTTTATCCTAGGCTGTGGTAGATTAGGCAAGAGGACAGAATTCTGAGATAGAATTAAAGGTTTTCTTGAAGTGCAAGTCCAGAGAACAACAAATTGTGAGTTTTTTCCCAGCTGCATACAGCTACAGTTCAGCCTTTGAGTTGGAATTCAAGCAATTATTTTGCCCAGAGTCAGATAAACCAGAGCAGTGGGAGAGGACAGGCCTCCATAGGCATGTGGCTGTCATCAGGGTAAAGAGCACTTCAGGCCCCTGTACAATCTTCTCCTCTGATCCTTTCCTCACCCTGCACCTCTCCAGGCCACTGCTTGTGCCTTGTTGGAATGGATTGTCTCTAAGATCTTTGCAGCAGCTCTGGAGCATTCCTCCCACCCCTACTTGTCCCTCCAATCTCCTCTCACACTGTGGTGATAAGACTATTTTGAAAAAGGCAAACTCAGTTAACTGCTCAGGCTTGAAATCATTAGGGAGCTCTTTTGTTCTTCAGATAAGTTTTATATTCTTGTTATTGTCTTTCAACAGCTTCCTTCCTCCCCATGCAAACACCAGCATTAGCTTCATATCAAAACAAATTACAGATATGCGGAACATTTTTTAGTTGCTTAAATGACACATTTTTCTTTGTACATCTGGACAAGTTTGCACATTACTTCCTATGCCCACAATCCTCCTTCTTCTCCCACTCACCAAACTCCAATCCCAACCATGACACATCATCTGAACCTTTTAATGATCATTTATATTTTAAGTTTATTTAAGGCCTCCTCCAAAATGCCCTCCCTAAATTCCTTTGTCAGCTAGGTTTTTTGTGAGTTCAGCCCTCCCATAGAGTTGCCCTGAATCTCTAATACTTAGTTGAGTGCTTGGCACAGAGAGAATACTTCATGAGTATTTGCAATATGAATTAATTAATAAAATTCCATTCACATATCAATTAATGAAGTGTTAACCTTCACAGCATCCTATGCTTTGTTAGCTGCACTGAACTGCTAACAAAACATAGGATGCTGTGATTAGCTCCCCTGAACAGAAGTTTAAAGTGCCTAATATATTTGCAAAGGGTAATATTTTTAGTAACAGAGTTGTAATTTTCTGCTAAGATTCTCTTGTTCTGAAAATTTTGTTCTCTCATCACTTGGCTGGCTTTCTCATCTTATTTCTTTCCAACTTATCAATGTTTATACTGACAGAGAAAAAGGTAATACAGTATAATATTTAAGAGCACAGATTTTTGAGACCGACTACAAAATTCAAATCCTTACTTCTAACATTTACTAGAGATTGTGACCTTGAGCTATTCACTTAAACTTTGCCTTGGTTTCCATGTATGTGAAATAGGAATAACTCCCTCGTAGTGGTATTGTAAAGATTAAATACATTACTATATCAAGAAACTGAGAACAGTACCTGGCACATATGTGTAAACTATATATACTGGGTAACTATTATTACTTCATTTTTCTTATTACCAGTATATCTTCATATCAGAAGAGAGAAGAAAGAGTAGTGGTAGATGTTCTGTGGTCCAGATCATTAAACTGTGCCTTTAAATTTGCCTTCTCTGAGAGATTCTTTTCTGGAAATTGAAGTCTACAATCCATACATCTGCACAGGATAGTAGATGGCTGAGTTACAGACGACTCCCTTCAGAACTGCTCCCCGACCCAACTCTCTGAGTCTGGACTCCTTGTCAAGCCACTCATCCTCCAAGCACTGATCTGAGTGCAGGAAAAGTATCCACTGAACATTAAGTCTTATGTCCACTCCTCTATTCTTGTGCTATATGAAATTTTCATTTGGGAAAAAAAATCCTCAGTAGACAATTTTGTGTGTCAAATGTAAATCCAAGAGCCACAGAATATTAGTGTTGTATTGATTAATAGCAGGAGCGTTTTCTTATTTATATATCACAAGTGAGAGTAGAATTATATTTTATTGTCTAAAAATATTTATCTCCAAGACTCACTAACTTATGTAAAAATTTTCCCAAAGCAACTAATGAGCTTATAGGAAGTTTTATGGGAAAAGATAAATGAAAAGCGCTCTTTGATTTTAATTTGGGCAGAGTGCAAATGCATGGATGCTTCTAGATATTTGTAATGATACTGTAAATTGATATGGCTTTTCTAGGAAGGAATTTAGATAGCTAAACCTAACATCCTTAATATGTTGAAATATTTTCCACCCAAGATTTCAAAAACTCAGAATTTAGATCAAAGGAAATAACTAGAAAGTTACATCAAAGTCTGTGGGCAAACACTAATTCTTTGCTACCTATTTTTTTGTGTGTGTGCCTTCATATTAACTTTATGTCTGTGTCATTTTAAAAATATGTAAGCTCAATGAAAGCAAGGACTTTTACTGCTTTTTTACCCTAGCCATTTAACAAGCACTTAGCAGATTACCTGGTATATGTCAAATATTCAACCATTATCTATTATATAAATCAGTCATTATTGTGATGTCTGATAGGACAAATGAGGAAGCACCTAAACAGCTAAATAAATATGGCCATGATAGGATATTTTAAATCTACCAAAAGGTCAAAGTTTTTAAGTATATGTATCTTTCTTCTTAATTCCACCAGTTTTTTTGCTAAAAATTTCAATTAGAATCTCATTCAATTAGATTCAATTAGAATTCCATTAGCCGTTTTGATAATTATTATTATTATTTTTAACGGAGTTAGGTATGTTCTCTGCTACATCTTTTGGGAGTTGCCAGGCCCTTCTTTACTAACAATCAACTCAAGTATATCAGAGTTTTTCTTCCATAAATTCTTAAATAGAACTAAACTAAGCACATACATGATGATGAGCAAACAATGACCTATATTTTTATTTAGCTCTTGTGCTACTGTGAATGTCAGTTTTAATACAGGATTATTTTATAGGAAAGAAAAATTTTGAACACATTGAGGTTACCACATTTTTTTTCTCTGCCTTCAGATACTTTTGATACATTTCATTTATGCTGTAAATGTTCCAGCATTTTCTACTGAGTCTTCAACTAGAAGAAAATAATAGGCATAAAATGCAGGGAACTTAGTTCTCCTTGGTTACACAAACACGGTCAACTTACCAAGGATTTATATCATGTAGTTCCAAGCCTACAGACCTCAGAGTAAAAACTGAATGTAGACTATTATTTAGGTTTTATAAATTATTCCCATTTTGATTCTTAAAAATGGCTACAGAAACCATTTGAAATCTCACAGAATTCTTGATGACTTCTAATTCCAATTATCTAGTATATAACAGAACTTTGATTTATGATAATTATTTTACAAATACAGGTAAACTTTGAGATTAAAAAAATATCTTTCTTTGCACATCTTTATATTTTCTGCATTTTCTTATTCCACATCTTTTCCAAGACTTTTTCTTTTGCATTTTCCTTAAAAAAAGGAAAAACAAACAAAGCAAATATGGTATTAATTGAGGTTTAAATTAAGATTATTTTCAATTGACTTTCTACTTGTCCCTCAATAAACTTCTACTAAGCTTCTTCCTGTCCTCTCCCCAGGTGGAGGGACTGCAGAATCTGCTTAGTAATTACTTAAACTGATATGAGTGTGCTTATTTACTTCTCTGCATTCTATCTTTTATACATATTTTTCCTTTTCTTTATCTTTTATATACTTGCATCATTTGTTTTCATGAGCTACTTCTGAACCCAGAACAATTGGTAAGGAAAAGCCATGAAAATTTTCACTACTTATTATTCATACCTTGAGAATCTTGCACATAATCTCATAAACTGAAAATGTTTTCTCTGCTCGAGTCCAGTCCCATGTTGTCACCTTTAAAAGATGAGAGACTAATATGTCATTTGTTTTAGAAAGATAACCCCTATTTCCCTTTTTATTTTGCTTACATAATATGGTGCATGATGAAACTTTCCCATATGTACTATACAATCTCAGTAGTGGAGTTATTTTTATAGAGTTCATGTGTGGTATTTTGGTGTCCTCTCTTCTAAGCTTTTTCACCATTTCTTCCTCTTTCACTGAATGTTTTATGTTATAGGTAAAAATCTCCTTTTGTCCAATGTACTTACATATTTTAAGTAATGTATTATCTACATAAATGCTACATATTTATATTTCACACATGTAATAATTTTACTACTGGTTACATACAAAGCAGAATAATACACCTTAATGCTGGCTTTAATTTTTTAAAAAAGACATAATTTGTATCAGGAAGTTATTTCAAGATGTGAACACCTTATAACATCGTGAAGACACTAAACACTATAATGAGGTTATTTCACTTTCTTATGTTTAAAACATATTTGTCTGTCTAGTCATGAGAAATTACTCAGAGTAGGATTATAGTTAAATACATAAGTATTAATGTTTTTTTTCCTGTTTTCTGGGTGCTTTGAACTTCATGTAGACATAGACATTCAAAATAGCAGCAGGTCAGACTTGATATTTCCAAGATCCTGTGTAACATCAGACCTGTAAGTGAGTGCTCTGGCATTTGAAATTTATATTCAATAAATATTTATTGAGAATCTATATTGTGTAAGGCACATGTTTCCAAAAGAAAGACCTTAGGTGCAATAGGTAACCATATATATTTAATACAAAGACCAACGACTATCCAACAACAGGATAGCAAAATAATATATGTTTTTTAATCTAGACAGACCAGTCACACAGATAAACATATTTTGACTGTCATAAGTGCCTAAGCAGAAATACCTTCTGGGATTATAAAGTAAATATTTAATGCTGGAACATATATCTTTATGAAGATATTTTCAGAAACATGTGGACTGTTTTCTATTTTTTCTGTATTTTATTTTAAAAATATATTGATAAATTGCTATTTACTACTATTAAGTTGATGTCACTCTGTCATGATAATATGGGAAAAGTAAAAAACATTGGATGAAGACACTTACTGGAGGTGCCAGAAACTTGTAAAGACATGATCCCCTTAGGGCTAGAAATGTTGGTGAGTATGCACGATCTTGTAGAGGGTCCTGCTCCCGTGCTTCACACCAGCCCATATAGACTATCTGCAAGAAAATTGAATATGATTAACAGTCAAAAAAGTCTCATTACCGTTGTGTATTTTTTATATCTTCGGTATTTTAATTCTCATAAAATTATCAAATTAATTGATGCAAAAAATATATTAGTCAGACATAACTTCCAATAAGTGAATGTGAACCACTCCTAAGAGTTTATATTTCCATCAGCACTTATCAAGTGTTTGTTTATGTGATCCAACTTGGTGTAAATTATATCTCCCACTCTCTACCATTCATACCATAAAGATGTTTCTTCATAATAAAATTTATTGATTTGTCTTATCAGTTTCCCAATTAGTGATATTTTACTATGGGGATGTGCTCCCAGGATAAAATATTTAAGGAGATGAGTCAAAGACAGGTACCCTGTGTGACTACCACTGTTGTGGTATATTGCATCTCCCCTCTACCTGACAGGATGGGATAATAACCATTGTTTTAGTCACAGATCTAAGAGGAATATAGATTATTCAAATATTATTCATATGTTAAATGGCAATGAAAACAGCTCTTTTGTCTCTAGATCTTAAATGATAGTGGGTCAATTTCCTAAAGGAAATCATGTGAGATAAGACACTCCTCATTCAATTATTTGATTCTTGTGAAGCTCAAACATAAACATAAGCATTTATTTAATGTTATATATTCCTGACAATGTATTCATCTGTCATTTATCTCTTACTGAAACTCTTATGTGGTAGAAATATCTGGGAGGATATATTTCTCACCTCATGTAACTTACTTTGGTTTTATGGTTGACAGAATGTTCTTTTCTGCTCTCAGAACTTTTTCTTTCTTTCTTTCTTTCTTTCTTTCTTTCTTTCTTTCTTTCTTTCTTTCTTTCTATGAGATCTGTTATGACTAATGGGATATTAATGCACATGACACATGTAGAGTCTGACTTAGTATCTTGTGCTTCCACCATTATCATAGGAAAAGCATACTCAAGATATATATATATGGAACTGACCAGAGTTGAAACTACCTCCTGGACCCAAGTTTAGCCAAATCCAGCCTAGAGGCTAATTCCAAACAACCAGTTCACTTGCAGAGAGAAATACAGATAAGTAGACTTCTCATGTTCATGGGTTAAAATAATTATTTGTAAAAAATATTCATAATATCCAAATTGACCTATAGATGCAATACCATTCCTATCAAAATTCCAATGGCATTCCTTACAGAAATAGAAAAATTATCTTAAAATACTAACTAGAGGAGGAGGCAAGATGGTGGAAGAGTAGGAGTCCTCATTTCATATGGTCCCCCAAATTTAGCTGGATAACTATTAAACCATCCTGAACACCTATGAATTCAATCTGAGATGTAAAGAAAGGATGGCTGAAACTCTACAAATAGAGAAGTGACCCCTTTTTGCAAGGTAGAAGTGCAGAGAAGAGAAATGGAGGGGATATATTGAAAGAATAATGGTGGGGGGAGGGATCCTTTGTAAGCTGACTATAGGAAAGTAATACAGCCTTGGGGCTCAAAATTGGGACCTTTAGAAATCTCCTGTGAGAGACTTCCTGGCCTGAAAGGTGCTCAGTGGTGAAGCAGGGACAGAACTGTAGGAGAGACAGTGGGATCTCAATATTCCCAGGGACACAGAAAGAATGGGAGCCTGAGCCAGCAGAGTTCCCAAGCATTAGAGTTGGGAGACAGGTTTAGGTCAGTGAGCCTAGAAGAAGACTCAGCATGCCATAAACTGTAAACCTCCAATGGGACAGATTGAGTGACTGCTTTCCATGCTGGATCTCTGCAAAGGACTGGAAAAAAGCAACCCTTCACTTTCATCTGGGAGAGGTGGAGCAGGTGCCCAGTCAACAGTGTGAACACTCTCAGTGCCAGGGCCCTGCAATGGACAGGCAGGATGACCCTCCACATCTGCCAGGAGGAGCAGCTAGAAGGTATATTTGAACAAATCATAGCTGAGAACTTCCCTAATATGGGGAAGGAAACAGGCATTCAGATCCAAAAGGTAGAGAGGATCCTTCCCCAAATCAACAAAAGCCAATCAACACCCCAACACATAATAGTGAAGCCTGCAAATTTCAGAGATAAAGAGAAGATCCTGAAAGCAGTTAGAGACAGGAGATTCCTAACATATAAGTGTGTGTGTGGGTGGAATATTAGATTAACAGCAGACCTGTTCACAGAGACCTGGCAGGCCAGAAAGGACTGGCATTATATATTCAGGGTCCTAAATAAGAAAAACATGCAGCCAAGAATATTTCATCCAGCAAGACTGTCATTCAGAATGGAGGGAGAGATGAAGGTATCCAGAAACTGAAAGAATATATGACCACCAAACCAGCACTACAAGAAATATTAAGGGGGATCCTGTAAGTGAAGAGGGAGCCCAAAGAAACACAATCTGCAGAAACAGGAGCTGTAGGGCAATACAATGCCACTAAATTGATATTTTTCAATAGTTACTCTGAACATGAATGGACTAAATGATCCAATCAAAAGACACAGGGTATCAGATTGGATAAAAAAGCAAGAGCCATCTATATGCTGTCTACAGGAGACTCATTTACCATGGAAATGGACCTCAAAAGAAACCTGGGATAGCAATCCTCATATCAGATAAGTTAGATTTTAAACCAAAGACTATAGTCAAAGAGATGAAGAGGGACACTATATCATACTTAAAGGGTCTATCCAACAAGAAGACCTAACAAGAGCACCTGAGGGGCTCAGTGGTTGAGCATCTATCAGCCTTTGGCTTGGATCCTGATCCTGGGGTCATGAGATTGTGTCCCATATCAAGCTCCCCACAGGGAACCTGTTTTCTCCCTCTGCCTATTTCTCTGCCTCTCTCTGTGTGTCTCTCATGAATAAATAAATTCTAAAAAAAAAAAGACCTAAAATTATGAATATTTATGCCCCTAATGTGGGAGCAGCCAATTATATCAACCAATTAATAACTAAAGTAAAGAAACACATAGCTAATAGTAAATTAATAGTAGGAAACTTCACTTCAGTGTCAGCAAAGGACAGATGTTCTAAGCAGAAAATTGACAAGAAACATGGGCTTTGAATGACACACTGGACCAGATGGACTTCACGGATATGTATAGAATTTTCCATCCTAATGCAACAGAATACACATTCTTCTCAAATGCACATAGAATCTTCTCTGGAATAGACCAGGTCACAAATCAGGTCTCAGCTAATACCAAAAGATTGGGATCTTCCCCTGCATATTTTCAGACCACAATGCTTTAAACTAGAACTCAATCACAAGAAGAAATTAGGAGGAAGTCAAAAACTTGGAGGTTAAAGAGCATCCTACTAAAAAATGAATGGGTCAACCAGGAAATTAGAAAAGAATTAAAAAGATTCATACAAACTAATGAAAATGAAAACACAACTGTTCAAAACCTTTGCAAACAGCAAAGGCAGTGCTAAGAGGAAGTACATTTCAATACAAAACTCCCTCAAAAAGTTAGAAAAATCTCAAATACACAAGCTAACCTTACACCTAAAGGAACTGGAGAAGGAACAGCAAATGAAACTTAAACCAAGCAGGGGAAGAGAAATAATAAAGATTAGGGCAGAACTCATCGAAATAGACACCAGAATAGTAGAACAGATCAATTAAGCTAGGAGGAGCTGGTTCGCTGAAAGAATTAATAAGACAGATGAATGCCTAGCCAAACTTATTAAAAGAGAAAAAGACTCAAGTTAATAAAATCATGAATGAAAGAGGAAATATCACTATCAATACCAAGGAAGTACAAACAATTTTAAGAACATATTATGAGCAACCATATGCCAACAAATTAGGCAATCTGGAAGAAATGGATGCATTCCTAGGAAACCTATAAATTACCAAAACTGTAATAGGAAGAAATAGAAAACCTGAACTGAGCAATAACCAGCAAGGAAATTGAAACAGTCATCAACAGCCTCCCAAGAAACAAGAATCCAGGGCCAGATGACTTCCTAGGGGAATTCTACTAAACATTTAAAGAAGAAATAATACCTATTCTACTGAAGCTGTTTCAAAAGATAGAAATGAAAAGAAAACTTCCAAATTCGTTCCATGAGGCCAGCATTATCTTGATCCCAAAGTCAAAGACCCCCAACAAAAAGAATTACAGACCAATATCTCCGATGAACATGGATGCCAAAATACTCACCAAGATACTAGCCAATAGGATCCAAAAGTATATTAGAAGGATTATTCACCACTACCACATGGTATTTATCCCTGGGATGCAGGGGCAGTTTGACATTCATGAATCAATCAACATGATAGATCACATTAATAAAAGACAAGAACCATGTGATCCTCTCAATTGATGCAGAGAAAGCATTTGACAAGATACAGCATACTTTCTTGATTAAAATTCTTCAAAGTGTAGGGATAGAGGGAACATTCCTTAATATCATAAAAGCCATCTATGAAAAGGCCACAGTCAATTTCATTCTTAGTGGAGAAAAACTGAGAGCTTTCCCCCTAAGGTCAGGAACATGACAGGGATGTCCACTCTCACCACTATTATTTAACATAGTACTGGAAGTCCTAGCCTCAGCACTCAAACAACAAAAAGAAATAAAAGGCATAAAATTGGAAAAGAAGATGTCAAATTCTCAGTCTTTGCAGGTGACATGATACTGTATATGGAGAACCCAAAAGACTCCACCCCAAAATTACTAGAACTCTTACAGCAATTCAGCAATATGGCAGGATACAAAATCAATGCACAGAAATCAGTTGCATTTCTATACACTAACAATTAGACTGAAGAAAGAGAAATTTAGGAATCAGTCTCATTTACAATTACACCAAAAACCATAAGATACCTAGGAATAAACCTAACCAAAGAGGTAAAGAATCTACTCTAAACCCTCAAAAACACTATGGAAGAAATTGAAGAAGACAAAAAGAAAATATCCTATGCTCATGGATTGGGAAAAAAAATATTGTGAAAATATATATGTTACCCAGAGCAATTTACACATTCCACACAACC